ATATATATACACATATGTATATAGGGTTTTTATAGGGCCTTAATTTATAGAGGGTTTATAAGGATTGATTGATTGATTGATTGATTGATCGAGCATAAATAAGAACCCCGCACATGTCCCGAAAGTTCAGAGCTCCAGTGCGGTATCGCCGAAGCGTATAGCTCATCAGCCTCTTCAAACCCCATTCGTCGACATACATCTTGACAGTGTCCGGCGAAGTCACGAGCAGTCGGTGGATTTCCTTCACCTGGGGGGGCTGTGGGCCATTCAATACAGATTTTGTTTGGATCTTGAGAGATGTGTGGTTTATAATAGATAGATATGTATGTAGGGTTTACAGGGTTCGGGGGATTTGGTCTGTGAGGCCTCTTGTCGGAGCCACCCAATAGGTGGAGACTTAGGGCCGTCGGAAAACTCCACCCAGACCTGCATTGTCTTCCGAACAACGAACCTGTTCAACTTGAGGGTGGCCTTCGTAGCAACACCGGTAGCCTGGGCACTCTGCCAATCCAGCAATCGTTGCTGCTTCCTCATCTGATCACGTGTAATCTCACACGAATCCCACATCTTGCTAAGCTTAAACTGCTCTGGCCATGCCGCTGCTGCCTCCTCCATCGTGCCACAAAATGTGACACACACACACAGAGAACAGCTACCTCAGGATATACTTGATCCTCCATATCAAGAACAACACGACAGTCGATCAAGCTTTTTGGTGTATGCATTGCACACACACACACACACCGACTGCAGAGTAAGTGCATGCATGCATGCAGGCCTTCTGACAGCTCCCAATGGCCAAACGGATCCTGCAACATACAAAAGGCAGATGATGTCGAATCGATCATGCATGGCTCCTTCGACAAGCCACTGGTCACGAGGACGGCGATCGGGAGGAGCCGGCCTGCTGTGCGTGGGGTGTTCCCGGTTGTCGCTTACCCTGCATGCCCCCGGCCTTTCAGCGTCTGTTGAATAATCGTAGTAAACAGCAGCCAAAGCAAAGTCACCTGCGAGGGCGACTTATGTCATCATTATTGGGGTCACTGTGCATTTTGACAAAGCGAGATGCTTTTCCCCCGATTGCTAACCAGCTCGGCAGCACATTGGTCCATGCTACACACAGCATTGCAAAGGCACCGAACTGTACCCAGCTCCATATATGGAATCTTCTCAACCATGAACGATCGGCTGCCGAAGGAGCCCATTTTTGCCTGGGACATTCAGTGCGAGGGGGCTCGGGAAGAAAAAGAGTCCACAATTGGCCGTGCTAAAGGGATTGCGATCGAGGTTGGGAAAGATGATCGACAGCTTCTTAGGGTTTCCTAGTCGAGGCTAGTTAATTATGAGGCGAAGATAAGTAATCCCAAGAATCCCCGATGCTTTAAAAGATAAGGTGCACATCTCCTTGAAGAGGATTCGGAAGTGCAGGCAGATCCCTTCATGACGAATGTTGTCGATGACGTGTTGCACGATTTCGTCCCCAGATGCCGGTGGATCCTCCCAAACATTACATACATATTGGACAACCTGAATACCTGTACACTTGGAACATGAAAGCCCTGGCCGTCCTGCTGACTGTACATAGCTCGGCAGCAAGCCAGCCAAAAGCGGTCATCCATCTGCATCAGTCCTGCGAACTCGAGCGGTGTCTGTGCTACACCCAACCTTAACTTATGAACCCATCCCCCGGCCCGGTGTTGTCCTTCCTCTGAGCAAAGCGAGATGCTCTGCACAGAAACATTCGCCAGCAAACCGACCATGGTCGCAAAAGTCATGACGGGCCCCTACAGAAAAGAAGCTATGCCCACCAGATCCCAAACAGCTGGCACGGTAGCTGCATCTAGGTCAATCTGACACTGAAGGCACCACTTGCAAGTAGACAAAGAGCGAGAAGGGAGGGCGTGCCTCCATCACCATAACGAGGTCGACATCCACATGTTTTCCAGCATTTATATATTATCTCAAGGTACGTGCTGGCTAGATATAGAGGTGACCCGCATATCGTTATATAAAGACCTCGATTCGTCCTGCGGCCGGTTTGGGCTTTCGTCTAAGGTTCTTCGGGATGACAATCAGCGCGGATTATCTAGGGGTGTCTTCCATGCAAGGTTTGTGGAGGAACAAAAGTAAAGGATGAGGATTACATATAGGGGTGTCATCCTTGCAAGGTTATCGACTATAGTCGGGGTTACAAAGTTCTATGTAGACGGCGAGGATTGTGTATCGATGCTATAGTCGTCGAAAGCCAAGCTCCAGGGACGGGCGAAATTCGCTCTTTGAATTATGTGGCTCTCCATGAAAAACGCGCTTTGGATAATCGATGACAGATGCTTCGTTACATGAAGTTTTGCTCTCTCTCCGCTGCTTTCCGCTCTCTCGTTTGGGAAACGCTTTTGTGCGTAAAGATTGTTATTTCCTGGAAGAGCAAAAATTACGCAGCAAAAGGTTTCACAGGTAATCTCCACACCGGCCCTTTCGCAAGACAGCGTCAAGGCAGGCAAGGAAGCGTACTAGGTGTAGTAAGATGCTGCAATGTGTGCAAAATACTGCAACGCGTTTTCCCTTTCTTCCCTTTCTTCTGCCTTTCGAGCCAAACGAGGCAGGCAAACGTGCAAGGAGAAAGCCTTTACAGAGCAGCAAGAAACTCCGAGCCTGCAGAAGTCATCGGCCAGGCAGCCTGCGAGTCGAACGTGTGCAAGGAGAAAGCCTCTACAAAGCAGGAAGAAGCTCCGAGCCTGCAGGTCATCGACCAGGCAGCCTGCGAGTCAAACGTGTGCAAGGAGAAAGCCTCTACAAAGCAGGAAGAAGCTCCGAGCCTGCAGGTCATCGGCCAGGCAGCGGCGCGTTGCGCCGTCGCAAGACAGCGTACGCGCCGTACAGGCGCATGAATATATGTCTATCTATCTATCTATCTATATATCTATTATCTATCTATCTATCTATCTATATATGGATAGATAGAAAGATAGATAGATATATATATATATATATATATGTGCGTATATTATCGATATATGCATCTGCCAATCCCTCTGAAGGGTTGCCAATTGCACCTCGCAGAGATGCAAGTTCCTGCAATCGACCACGCCACTCCCTGTGGAGAGTTGCACGGCGGAAAGGATACAAGTAGTAGTTTGCACACACGTTTCAACCCTGGACCACGCCAATCCATGCAGAGGGTTACACGCAGCGCCCAAAGACCATGCAACAGTACCTGCACACCTTCCGATTAGAACATTCGAGGAAGCTAATCCCTCTCAATGAAGGATTGCGCGGGGCACCGCAAAATGTGTAACTTTACCTTGCGTTCGACCACTCGACCACGCCAATCCCTGTGAGGGGTTGCAAAATTCATTTCAATGCTCATCAAAAATTGCAACTTTACCTCGCGTTCGAACACTCCACCACGCCAATCCCTGTGAAGGGTTGCAAAATTCATCTCAATGCTCATCAAAAATTGCAACTTTACCTCGCGTTCAACCACTCGACCACGCCAATCCCTGTGAGGGGTTGCAAAATTCATCTCAATGCTCATCAAAAATTGCAACTTTACCTCGCGTTCGAACACTCCACCACGCCAATCCTTGTGAAGGGTTGCAAAATTCATTTCAATGCTCATCAAAAATTGCAACTTTACCTCGCGTTCGAACACTCCACCACGCCAATCCTTGTGAAGGGTTGCAAAATTCATTTCAATGCAAATCAAAAAATGCAACTTTACCTCGCGTTCGAACACCCGACCACGCCAATCCCTGTGAAGGGTTGCAAAATGCAAATCCCTGTGAAGGGTTGCAAAAAAAATTGAACTGCACCCAAACCCTGTGAAGGGTTGCGCGGCGCCCGCAAGAAGTGTAACTTTACCTCGCGTTTGAACGCCCGAGGAGGCGAATCCCTGTGAAGGGTTGCGCGGCGCCCGCAAGAAGTGTAACTTTACCTCGCGTTTGAACGCCCGAGGAGGCGAATCCCTGTGAAGGGTTGCGCCGGGCGCCTAAAATGTGTAACTTTACCTCGCGTTTGAACGCCCGAGAGTTCCAATCCCTGTGAAGGGTTGCGCCGGGCGCCTAAAATGTGTCACTTTACCTAGCGTTTGAACGCCCGAGGCAGCGAATCCCCGGGAAGGGTTGCGCGGTGCGCCTAAAATGTGTCACTTTACCTAGCGTTTGAACGCCCGAGGCAGCGAATCCCTGGGAAGGGTTGCGCGGTGCGCCTAAAATGTGTCACTTTACCTAGCGTTTGAACGCCCGAGGAGGCGAATCCCTGGAAGGGTTGCATTCCCGATGGACCCCGACGGTGCCACCCCCGCCTTTAAAAGAAATATTAAGATACCGAGATGTAGAGAGTAAGTCATAAGTCATAGTAAGTCATAGATGCATAGAGAGTCAGTCATAAGTAAGTAATCATAAGTAAGTAAGTAGATAAGTAAGTAAGTAGAGTCAGTAAGTAAGTCAGTAAGTAGTAAGTATAGTAAGTATAGTAAGTATAAGTAAGCAAGTCAAGTAAGTAAGTAAGTAAGTATAGAGATAGCATAACATAGAGTCCAGTGTCAAGTGTCAAGTGTCAAGTAAGTTAGTAAGTAGATTGAAGTAAGTAAGTAAGTAAGTAAGTCGTAAGCATAACATAGAGTCAAGTATCAAGTGTAGAGTCAAGTATCATAGAGTCAAGTGTCAAGTGTAGAGAGTCAGTCATAAGGGTCAAGTAAGTAAGTAAGTATCAAGTGTAGAGTCAAGTATCAAGTGTAGAGTGTAGAGTAAAGTATGGAATCAAGTAAGTTGATTCTATGTCTGTCATCTATGTACTCAGCTGCGGCGTTCCACACGGAAGAACCCTTCGCGATGCTTTCGGGAAAAAGCTTAATGCCCTAAACCCTAAGCTCATCTAAGCTCCCTATAGACCCTGAAAGTACCTTTGTAGTACCCTTATCCCTAAATTATCCTAAACCCTAAACTCCCTAAACCTTACGTAAACTATACACTCCCTAAATCCCCGATATCTCACGACAGGTGAACAATCCCACGACGACGAAGGAAAGGGGCGAGCAACTGTGAGGGCCCCACTTTGGCTTTAGGATTTTAAGGGTTTGGGTTTTAGGTTTTGGGCTTTAGGGTTGTGGAGTGTGGGGGGTTTGTAAGGGTTTTAGAGATGTTAGGGCTTTGGGGTTTCAGGAGCTTAGGGTTTGAGGGTTTAGGGCTTAGGATTTTAGGGGTTTAGGATTTAAGATTCCATAGGGGTTGGGGGCATAGGATTTGAGGGATTTGAGGCTTTGAGGGGGTTCATGGCTTCAGGGTTTTAGGGTTTAGGGTTTAGGGTTTAGGGTATAGGGTTTAGGATTTAGGGTTTAGGGGTTAGGGGTTTAGGGGTTTAGGGTTTAGGGGTTAGGGGTTTAGGGGTTTAGGGTTTAGGGTTTAGCACAGCGCCACGGCGCGCCCCACCCATGGAGTGGTCGTGGGTCGCGCCGTCTTCGTAACGTGGAACCCACCCACAACCACCCGAAGCAGGACTAGAACGGGTTTTGTGTTCTGCTTCTTCTTATTCGAGTGCTGCACTAGCCGAAAAGACGTTGCAATGTTGCGGAACGTCAAAGGGACATCCGAGTGATGTAGTCACAAAATAGCAGCGACGCCCTCGCTCGTCCTCGCCGGCCGCCAGAGTCGTCCGTCAGCCGTCGTCAGAGTCGTCCGTCAGGGCCCAGTGCCAGGCCTCCAGAAGTGGTCTGCAGCCGTCCGCTGTCCGTGCCAGTCCGGCCAAGAGTGCTGATCATCCAGTCGGCCGCCAGGGTTTTTTCGCCCGGCAGTCCGTGCCAGAATTGTCCAGCGTGCCGCCAGACTCGCACTCCAAGAGTCGGCCACTGTCCCCAAGATCTTTCTAGGACGTCCCGTCACTGGGTCCCCGCAGGGTCACTCCGCTGTTTTTGCCAGGGTCGCTTGGTCAGGGTCGCCGTCCCCGCTAAGGTCCTTACGCCGTCCTTGCCATGGGTCGTCCGCCGTCCCCGCCACGATCGCCCGCCGTCCCCGCCAGGGTCGTCCGCCGTCCTCCAGAATCGTCTGCCAAGCTGTTTTTGGCTTTTTTAGTTGCTGTCAAAGCCAAGTGCCCGCCAAAGTGTCCGCTTGTCCGCCGTCCCCGCAGGGTCACGCCGTCTCGTCCGCCATCCCCTCCAGAGTCCGCCAGAGTCGTCCGCCGTCCCCGCCAGGGTCGCCCGCCGTCCCCACCAGGGTCGTCCGCCGTCCTTTTCAGAGTCGTCTGCCAAGCTGGTTTTGGGCCTTTTTAGTTGCTGTCACAGCAGAGTCGTCCGCCGTCCCGCCAGGGTTGCCCGCCGTCCCCGCCAGGGTCGCGCGCCGTCCCCGCCAAAGTCGTCCGTCCACCAAGTCCCCGCCAGGGTCGTCAGCGCCATCCCCGCCAGGGTTGCTCGTCAATCCCCGCCAGGGTTCTCGTGCTGGGAGATAAGGCGCCATCCTCCAGCAGAGTCGTCTGCCAAGCTGGTTTTTGGCTTTTTCAGTGTCGTCCGCCGTCCCCGCCAGGGTCGCCCGCCGTCCCCACCAGGGTCGTCCGCCGTAGTCGTCCGCCGTCCCCGCCAGGGTTGCCCGCCGTCCCCGCCAGGGTCGCGCGCCGTCCCGCCAATGTCGTCCGTCCACCAAATCCCCGCCAGGGTCGTCAGCCGTCCCCGCCAGAGTCGCCCGCCATACCCGCCAGGGTCGCTCGTCAAGCTCTTTCTACCAGGTCCCGTCCCCGCCAGGGTTCTCGCGCTGGGAGATAAGGGTACCCAATTTTACTATTGTGCCCCATGGCTAGCAGTGCCAAATCAGGTCTGGTAGACTCGATCTGCTTGGCCAAGCAGGCAGATCTCGAAGCGGTAGCGTTCAGTGGTACCGGCCACCGCCGGGCGCGGGCGGCCAATGGTTTAGGGTTTAGGGGTTTAGGGGTTTAGGGGTTAGGGGTTAGGGGTTTAGGGGTTTAGGGGTTTAGGGTTTAGGGTTTATGGTGCTTCCGGGCTTTCGGGTCCAAGGGTTCTTGCATTCTCCACGTCACTCCGATCGGGGCATGATGTTTTGCCAACACTATTATGTCATAGGGTTCCCGGAATACAACCGGAGTCCCCTTTATTCGCTAGCTGCACTTCTCAAAATTGCGGGCCCTGTCTGGGTGCAGAGTCTTGGGCGTGGAGTTTCCGAACCTTAAACCCTACACCCTTAACCCGCCGAATGTGCTCAACGCAGCTGTTGCCTAGATCTCTCGAGATCACCTCGTCAATGATCGCATTGAACAGGATTACTTGGAGGGTCGGGGGACTTAGTGACTGGTTATTTTAGGGACTTATAAGTACCATAACCCCAACTAGGGCCCCTTCCAGGGGACTTATACGTCTACTTGCTGCCTACTTACTAAAGTCCCCCGACCCTCCAAGTAGTCAGCCCGGCATGGTTACGCAATGTGCTTCTTTGCGCGCCTCCCTGCCACCAAGCAGCCCAGCTGGCCTTGAAAGAGCTCCCGGATGCCAACCCTTGCGAGCTGGGCCTGGTCCACTTGCTCATCTTCCGCAGCTGCTGCAAGGTGGGCAAGAACTCCTGGGAGCGTACAGACGGAGCCCAGCAGCCCTTGGCAGTGGGTCGCTTGCTGCTTCTCATTTGTGAGCGAAGGCCGTCATCGGTGTAGGCCGTGCAGACTGTAGGGTGTTGTGACCTCGAACGAAGCAGGTCCGGTTTGAAAAGGGTTTGTATCGGTAGCTGGGTTCTTGTTGAGGGGTCTAACTTAAGTTACCATAATAGTGAAACCATGGTATTTCCATAGATTTCTTGTTAAGGGACTAACTTAAGTAGGGAAACCAGGGTATTTACCTAGATCCCTATAACGGTAACTTGAACTAAGTTCTCTAACAAGAACCCAGGTTGGGGGTCCGAGATCAAATAACTTTCAAATATTGGGGGCTGATCCGATTCCAAGAAAGTTTAGGAAGTCAGGGTTTAGGGCCTTGTGTTTAGGGTTTTGGGACATGGAGATTAAGGTTCTAGGGCTTAGGGGTTTAGGGTTTTAGGGATTAGGGCTTAGCGCTTGGATTTGAGGCTGATCTGGTTCCAAAGCTTAGGAAGTCAGGATTTTAAAGGCGACACCTCCCCATTCCTGAAGCCCCATCCCCTACCCTGCAAACTCGAAATCCTATCCTCCACACCCACCCTTTAGGTTTAGGGGTTTAGGGTTTAGGGTTATGACTCTAAACTCGATCCCCAAATGCTGAATTCTGCTTGTGCTCCAGGCAAGGGCTGCTCGACGAGGATGCCCAGGCAAGGGCCTATCTTGGGGTGGGCATCGAGCCCAGGTTTCGGAGGGTTTGGGGGTTGAGAGCCCAATCCAGGACCCCCAATGGCCCTTTAATGGAACCCTAGTGGCCCTTAATAGTAGGTATTTGGGGTATATTAGAAGGTAGTTGGGGGGTCTAGGATATCCCTTAATTAAGGAATATAGCGCTTAATATGATAAGATTAACCCCTTATAGTTTCAGGTATATTCCTTAATTAAGGGGTATTGGGCTCTCTGGGTTTAGGCCAGGTGCTTAAGGTTCAGCGGTCTAGCTTTGTTTGAGATCTTGGTGCTGGGTCGTCCTTCTGCTTTTGAGGTATATGCCGGGGAGTACTTCTTTGGGGCCGTACAGGGCCGTACAGGCCTGTTTGGGGTGGCTCGGCATGGGGTTTTGCAGGGTGCATTAAGTGCTTACGGGCTTGTGCTGGTTCCCTAGACTTTCTTGATGCCCTAAAAGCCCTAAACCCTAAAGCCTAAATCCCAGTTTAAAAACCCTGAAACCCTAAAGCCCTAAACCCCTAAATCCCTGAACCCCTTAAACCCATGAAGCTCTTGGGACAGCATGCCCTCAACCCAAACCCCGGGGGCCTCAACCATTGGGCCGGAGAAGAACTGCGCGGAATAAACGGGCCTCGGCGGTGCTGAGGCTTAGGGTCTAGGGTTTAGGGGTCTAGGGTTTAGGGGTTTAGGGTTTAGGGGTCTAGGGTTTAGGGGTTTAGGGTTTAGGGTTCTAGGGCTTAGGGGTTTAGGGTTTAGGGGTTTAGGGTTCTAGGGCTTAGGGGTTTAGGGTTTAGGGGTTTAGGGTTAAGGGTTTAGGGTTTACAAGGATGCCCAGTAGTGCCCTTGTTCCCTTCTTGTAGTCCTAGGTTCCTTATAGAGTTACCCAATACCAAAAAGGGAGCCTTTTTATTCCTAGGCTACTGGGTATCCTGGATTAAGCTGGGGGAGTTTCCGAAAATAGGGGTACCTTAGTTTGGGGGCCCTTATAAATAATAAGGATCCTACTATTTAGGGTACTAATATTAGGGTCCCCTGTTTTCGGAAACTCCCACCATAACTGGCTTCTTGTTAAAGAAACAAGAATTCTGTTTAAGTTGCCATAATAGGGATCTATGGTAAATACCATGGTTTCCCTAAACCCACTAAGAAGAACCCAGATAATATGGCCACCAGACTATGTACTGAAGATCCCCATTGTGGTAACTTCAACTACTTTCTAGAATTCCATTACAAAATACTCTAGGAGCCTGCTGAAAGTATTCTAAGTATACTCGAACAACCTTAGGACTTAAGACTCCGAAATCTTATCCTAATGTACCTCTAAATCCTAAGCAGTGTACTCGTGTACTAGCCCTGTGGCCAGCCCTGTGCAGGATGACCCCTGAGCATGCAGGCCCAGGAGCAGGCATGAGTGTAATGTGAGAGAGCCAACTGTCTCGGGTTGAGGGTTTAGGGGACCTGAACCCCCCCAAACCCAAAGCCAAGAATCCTAAACCCCAAATCCTGCCCTGGATCCAAAAGACAATATTCCAGAAACCCTGAACCCTAAACCGTACCATTCACATAATAGGATCCTTTGTATAGTTAAAAATACCATTAATTAAGGAATATACCTTAAATCATAATAGGATCCTTTGTATATTTAAAATACCCTTAGTTAAGGAATATACCTTAAATCATAGTAGGATCCTCTGTATAATTTAAGGTATTTCCCAATTCCTAATGCCTTAAATCATACAAAAGATCCAATCATGATTTGAGGTATATTCCTTAATCAAGGGTATGTTAAATATACAATGGATCCTATTATGATTTGAGGTATCTTCCTTAATTAAGGGTAATTTTAAATATACAAAGGATCCTATTAGGATTTACGATATACTCCTTAACTTAAGGGTTTGGGAGGCTCGCAGTCCTAGCAGTAGTGGAGCAGGATCGGTCCGGTGTCGGGCTTGACCCAGAGAGCCCAATACCCCTTAGTTAAGGAATATAGCTTAAATTATAATACGAACCCCCCTTATAGTTTAAGGTATATTCCTTAATTAAGGGGTGTTGGGCTCTCTGGAAGTTTCAAGGTGATGATCTGGGAGTTTCCGAAAATGAGGGGGTACCTTACGGTCGATAATAGAAATCCTGCATTACCTTAATAACCCCAAACTATGGGAATTATGGTAACATGTTCATGGTCTAATAATGTCCACCGAAACGCCCTTCACAGTATGAAGGCCCCCTACCTGTATATGAAGTCAGTATGGGCAGATGTGTAGGCAACTTTGGAAGGTTAACGTTTGGTCTGTGTGAGGGTGATGATCTGGGAGTTTCCGAAAATGAGGGGTACCTTAGGTTGGGGGTACTGTTTTAAAGGGGATCCTTCAAGGGTTCCTGTAAGGGTTCCTTTGAGGGATATTAGGGTTTAGGGTTTAGGGGAGTTTCCGAAAATGAGGGGTACCTTATTGGGGGGGTCCTTATAATAAGGATCCTACAGTTTGGGTACTATATCAGGCTCCCCTATTCTCGGAAACCCCATCTGCATGGCAATGGGCAGATTTTCTGCAGCTCAGCCGCAACAATGCACCTTGTTGGGGCAATATATTCCCTGTATAACCCCGAAGGTTAAGCTATAGTTCCTTTGGGATACTGGACAAGTAACGTGTACAGGGGACCAGAAACTGTGAAATCTTCCGTTAGATTGAATGTTATATGTATCCAGGCGCGACTGTGTCTGTCCAAGCGCGTAGACCCTAAAGCAGTTAAGCCTGAACCGCTTAGTGGGAGTGTGGGTAGCCTTCAATGGGATATTATGGCTGATCCCTATATCACCCCGAAGGTTACCTTTGTGTTTTGTTGGGATACTGAACAAGCAAGGCTAGGATGCAGGGCCCGGACTTAGTGGGCGGCATGCGCGTTTGCGGGAAGGGCGCACCCCTAGCCTCAAGAAGCCTCACGCGATCCCATGTTAGCACCCTTCTACACAAATTCGTAAGCCCGTATAACATATTCAAGAACCATGTAAAACAACCAATGCAAAGGCTTCCGACTACTCGAAACAACCCTGCTTAAACAAAACCATACAGTGCCGATAACGTTCTCAACACCACCTTTACTGCTATAAGATCCTGAATCTGAAAGGAACTCTTCATACAATTATGTGAAACTTATAGAGCCTGTAACATCTTGAGAAGCCCTTCGAACAGCCAGGCAATCCTTAAAGTAACCCTGACGACATAGCATCCTCAGACCAACCTTCATGAAGCAAGTTTAGGGTTTATGGATTTAATTTTTAGGGGCTTAACAAGACAAGAATCCTCGCCCGGGGAAGACCTTACAATCCACGACATTTTCTATGTGCAGGCCTTGTGTCGAATCTCTTGCAGACCTTGAGGCAGAAGCTGCCCACAGAGCTGGGTTTCTTGCTGGATATCAGGGCTTGTCGGGTTTTGTTTATACGTTTTCTATAAGAACTTTGCAAAGTGTTCGCGAGATCTGTTGTAAGGGTTATGTCAGGGTTTCTGTAGGTCTATAGGATTTGATGCAGGTGTCTCATCATTAGACTAGGCTTTGGGGTGTCTCATGGCATAGTTATGGCGGGACTAAAAGAGAACACAACTACGTTTTCGTCCGACGTCCATCTTCCGTGACTCGGATAGTTCCTTTCTTTCCCCATTGCAATGGCAGGGTTTTGGTCGAATAGTTCTCAGGCGCTTCGAATCGCCAACCTAGCTCCGCCCCCAACCAGACACCCAGAGCCTCCAAAACCGCTTAGTTAAGGAGTATACCTTACCTAAAGGTATATTACGAATCCCATTATGGTTTTAGGTATGTGCCTTACACTTTATATTAGGGATCCTACTATGATTTAAAGTATGTTCCTTAATTGAAGGGGTTTTGGAGGCTCTGGACAGCTGTGCTGTCTTTCGTAGGTACGCAAAGTCCAGGGTTGTCCTTTTGAGCTCGACTAGCTGACCTCCCTTAAGGGGTTCTCAATCCTATTTGGGTTCCGAACTTGTCTATTCGACTTGTAAGCCCATCAACTTCAAGCATGTCCAATAGTATGTATATATATATATATATATATATACATATATACACATATACGTACAAATACATGCAGGCACATATACAATTATGTTGACCATGTGGTCGATAGACTTTGTTCCAGCCCTCTCGTTCTGATTATTTCAGCCCCTGCCTTAACCCCAAGTAACCTACCTTTTTAAGGACTTATATAAAGAAATCATATTAGGGAACCCTGGACCCTAAACCCTAAACTAAACCCTAAACCCTAAAAAAGTAGGTTCCTTAGGGTCCAGGTGTGTGAAACCCCGAGCCAGGCAGTTTCTCTTTCTGGCGACTCGGCGCTGGAGTCTAGCCGGGATCCCTAAGGGTTCCTTTCAAGGGATCCATAAAGGGTTCCTTTAAAGGGATCCATAAAGGGTTCCTTTCACGGGATCCATAAAGGGTTCCTTTAAAGAGATCCATAAGGGTTCCTTTAAAGGGAGCCATGGATCTCAGTTCTGTGATGAGAGCTGTTTTCTTGAGTACAACTTGGGGGTCGGCCCGATGATTAGAATTGGGTTCCTTTAAAGGGCTCTTAACAGGGCTCTTTAGGAGGTAATTACTCTGCTTGTTGTATATTTTGGACGCCTTCGATTAGAATAGAGTTTTGGATCATCGTATCTAGTGCCCTTAGAACAGCCTCAAAGCAACAATGCAACCGCAAAGTAGCCTGAGGCTGAGAAGTATGACGAAGGCATGTTCTTGCTTCCTTCATCCTTGGAGGCTGTAGCCTCACCACCCCTTGGCCATGTTCCTGGAGCAACCCGGGAACTAAACCCTAAAACCCGAAACCCTAAACCCTAAACCTAAAACCCGGAAACTCATGGCATGGCCGCCCACCTTCGCTGGTGGCCGGCGCTTAAGCCCCTCGACATCGATGGCGCAGGTCGATCCAGGACGCTCGCCTGCCGTCCCACAGCCAGGAGTACTGTATCACCCACGTTGGGCGGTACCGGGACACGTTCTCCCCGGGACCAGTACTGGTCCCCTGACAAAAGTCATTGCCCTAAACCTGCTACCCGAAGTCCTGGGCGTGGCTGGGCTGGTTTGGGCACCCCCCAACAAGGCACCCTGAGGGGGCCAGGCAGCCCCTGCCCTGCCCGCCCTTTCCCTAGATGGTTTTTGCCCCTTGCCCTGCCTGCCCTGAAGGGGCCTTAAATGGGGGCCTTAATAATCCTATATCTTACCTTCGGTTAGTAGGGAATGGAAGATTTTTAGTAGTAGTAGTTATAATTGTACCCCATTCCTCCTTTCCTCCTCACCCAAGCTAAGTACAACGGATGGCCGGGAGGGCCCCTGAAGGTGCACTCCTTGGCAAAGCTCGGTATTGTCCAAGTCTTCTTTGGCCAGTTGGTTGCAAGTACCCTTTCGAGGCATTCCGTAGCAGCTTTGGCCGCAACACGGTTCACCATCGGGACACAAATCAAGTTGTCGGTCCAAAGCAACGACATGGCTCACCCCGTTGGAATCCAGTTTCTTAAGTAATATAGGGTTCCTTTAAAGTGTACCCAACTATAGATCCCTTATAGACCCCTTTAAGGAACCCTTTAAACTGAGTTGCAGAAATACAGGTCCTCAAGCCCTCCTGTACAGTGTCTGGACAGTCATGTTGCATGTGCCTGTAGTGCTGATAGGAAGAAAAAGTCTGTTGAAACAGATACGGCATTACAACGACTCATCATTGACACATTTGGCTCAAAGCAAAACAGTACGACTGCACACTGTTTGCGTTGCTGTAACTGTTTGTGCAGTGTACCCCTCAAACAATGGTTAACAGCCTCAGCTTCACATTGTTCGTTCGTAGGTGAGCATAGAGCCACTGCGAGCCATACATATCGCTTCCCCCAGGGTTGAGCTTCACTTGCACTCCATACCTTGCACTGTATATAACTCCCTCTGCGTGCCTGAGCCAAGCACCGGGGTAGAGTTCATCCTTTTCGTATCGCATTCCATATCTGTCATTGTGTGGGCTTCTTGCCTCCTTTGCTACTCAGATCGTTCTTGTGTGGGCACCGTGCCTCCTAGACTATCTGTGGCAAATACATACCGCACACCTGATTTTCTTCACCCTTCCTAGACATTTTCCCCTGACTCCGCGAGCTTCGCCGCTCAGCGCGTCTTGCAACCTCGGTGTTCCTCATTGGGTTATTCTGATTCTGAGTTTGGTTTGGGTTATGCGGGCTTTCACCTCCTTCCCATAACACTTCCCCCTTAACAACCTCTCCTAAGACCCGTTCACGGTCGAGGGTGGCTTTAGGCTTTGTGGTTGTTGGGATACCGGCACAAAGTGCCCAGTGTAAGTGAATAAACGGACTTCGCCCTGTTCACTTTCCCGAAGCATACAACATTTCGGTACTTCTATTTGTGCTCTATCTTCCGTAGCTTGAGACCCAAAGGGTACGGCTCCGGTTGATTGATTGGGCTTGGGGTGTTTGCAGGAACAAACTTGCTGTCGCGCGTGTGGGCTCACCGCATCCCGTGCATTGATTAGGTATAGGCTTGATTATTGCACCGTGCTGAGCCTCCGACGGGTTTTTGTTGATCGGATTCAGTTCACATTGCTCATCTGTGAGGGCATTGGGCCCCCGGATTTCAACATCACTTCAGCGTAGGTCGGTAATCGTGCACACCACAACATAAGGGTTCTGATATCCTTGATTGTGCGTCTGTGCCCATTGATCATTGCACTTCGCTGTGCTGACCTTTTGCATGGACGAGCCCGAGTTGCCCGACCCAGAGTTGGTACAACGGTACTTCGAATCCTTCCAGAAACTTCGCAACCGGGGTGGTAGGGCTAATCGTAAGCGGAAAGCTGCAGCTTGCCGTTTGCTAGAGGCCTTGCTTTCCACCTTATTATTGTACCTTCAGCGTTTCCTACAAGGGGAAGGTATTCGCAGGGAATCATTGGAAGGGCGTATTCGGTGCATCCGTGATCGGTTGGACGATTTTGCGGATCCTGGGTTCACTGTGCTGAAGACCACTGTCCTCTATAACTTCCAAGACCCTGAGGGTGAGGACGAGGTTGATCCCGTTGGTGAATTGCTTACGGTTTCTGATTCCTCTGAGTCCGAGTCGGTCGTTGTTGCAGCCCCGAAGCCGAAGCCGAGACCCAAAGCTCGTCCGGAGCGGTCGCGATCCCCACAACCTTCCTCTTCATCGGCGCCGATTCGGCCTGTGCCACCGCCGCTGCCACTTCCGCCTGCATCACATTGCGAGTTGCATCATTGGGGACACTTCGATAGGTGGGTAAACCTTTTGGCTGAGAGGCTTTCTCACACTGGTCATCGCCGCTTGATTGCCTTTGATCATCACGAGGTTTTTGATCGCGATCCGGCCGCATCTTTATTGACGGTACAGCAGCTTGTGAACCAGGACGAGTGGTCGTACTGCATCCTGTGTTTTGCCACTGCGCCGGCTCGTAAGACGCAAACCCTCCAGTGGCATTGGAACTTTGCGCATCCAATCAGGCCTGCGATCATTGGACATACGATTGATCGTGCGGGTGAGCTTGGTAAGGGTAAGGCTTTGGAGCTGACGGCGCAGAGGTTAAGGGATCGCGGCATACAGGTGGATCAGATTCTGTTAGTCGACCAGAAGTCGTTCATCACCCGTGACGCCTCATCGCAAGGCTGCCTGGGTTTGAGAGGCCTGCATTTGCGACTGCCAATTCGCAGCCGCTCAATCTGTTCCTTCAGCGAGCCCGGGTACTTCGGTAAAAGGACATGTCTACTCCCGAAAGCTCGTTAAGCTCACGTCCTCAAGTGCCGACACTCCTCCCCGTGATGATTTGGCCCTACCAGCCCCACGAACCCAACGGTCACGTAACATATTTCTTGCCCTTCCCCAACCCAGTTCTAAGCTCTAAATGGAGCATATGATGCCCATAAGCTCCTCTAAAGCCCGATGCCCTTTGTAGGGCTTGGAGCCCAAACCCAAAAAAACTTAAGTCCCAAAGCACTGAAGCTACTCTGTGCTACACCAGGTTATATAACATCACATCGAAGTCGGATGTGCGCGGGGTTTTGATACAACATTTAAGGTTACAGATATGGTGCAATGTGGCACAGTATGATACACCATAGAAAAATTCACAGCAGTATTTCACCCCATAGCAATCATGATCCTGTTCCTAGTCGAGTAATAACAACAACAATAATAGTGATAATGAGAAGACGAAGAAGAAGAAGGTTGCTAATGAATAACAAACATGCTAATAATAGCAGTAATTAAGAACACTGATAATGGTACTGATGGCAATAGGAACAACATCCATCAGTGCACCTCATGGTTTGTTCTATTCAGAGAGGGCCTCGCCGCCTAGGTCCCCGGGGCACCGCCCCCACGGTACCTGGCCACCCATGGCGGCCGAAAAGATGCGCGTGCGGTGGTGGTTTCGTTTGTGGGGCTTTGGGCTTGGGCTGTTTGTTGTTTTAGGGTTTAAGTTTAGGCTTTCGGGCTTCAAGTAATGTGCCCAGCTCATGTTCAGAGCCCTGTGATTTGTCGGGCGACGGGATGTATGCTTGTTGTCATCGTCTCGTTGGGACGAGCAGGCTTTGGGGCTGGAGAGTTCCATGCGCAAGATCTGCGACGGCACATCCTCCACATTTTCAAGCGCAAACCCTGTAGCTCAAGTGCTGTTTAGGCTTTCAGCAAGCATGCTGACAAGGGGGCGGACAGGGCGCACATCTTATTCAGTGGGTGCTTCCCAGCAGCTGTCAATAGTTCTATCCGATCCGAGTGTGAACCTTTTCATCTTGAAGTATCTTTTTTTGCACTCATCGCCTCGAACGGAAACAACAAGGGTCCCTAGAGTCTTCTGATATTTGTGCATTGCCCCAATCGACTTTAACTTCCAAGCCCAATAAAGCCAAACACCCTTAGACCGCAACCCATCCAAGCCGCTTGAAAGCACAGCCTCACGGCGACATTAAGGTTCAGAGTTCTATTTAGGGTGCAAGGGTTCGATTCCGAAAATATGGGTTCTGGGCGCATACAGCTTTGCGACTGAGACTTAGGGCCAGCGGCAGTGCCAGCCATGTGCTTAACCCTAGACCTTTCTAAACCGACAAAGCTCAAAACCGTGAACACAAACACCCCAAACCCAAAAACCTGAGCCCTTACCCCAAACCCAAACCCTCTTACTGGTAGCCTAAACCCCAACGCTTTGGTCAGCTTTACAGCTTTAGATGTCTATGCCATGGACCCACACGGAGGCCGGCCGGATGGGACCCAGAGTTTGCCCTGAGTTTGGGCTGCGGGATTGGCGCTTGCAGGTTGAACACATGGGGATGTTTTTGTGTTTCGTGGGGTTTAGGGGTTTAAGGGCTTAGGGCTTCATTGAGGGTTTAAGGGTTGAGAGGTTTAAGGGCTTCGGGGTCTAGGAGTTGGTGTGTTCTAAGGATGTTTCAGGGGTTTAGGGTTGAGGCTGCAGCACTTACTGACCCAAGCAAGCCGAGCAAAAGCCTTGAGAAGCCACTGCCATAGACGACAGCATATTGGTACTTTGGACCCTTTGTGGGTAATGTATACTACCCTAATGCTCCTAAGAGGGTTATGGTCTTTCCTGGGGAGGGTTCGGGCTTTTTGGGCGAGGGTTTGGGATCGCACTACAAGCGCCCAGAAGCCTTAAGTATAAGTCTACTATAAGGCCACTACAAACGTTATAAGGTTATGTACAGGAATACCCCAACATGGGTGTAGAGCCCACTACAAAGCTGCTTGAAACGAACGACAAGGTTATTATATGGGCGTGAAGAACTTGCGATACAATTTTCCTTAGGGCTCCTTGTGATCGGTCTATTTTGATATACTCCCAAGGCCCGATTCCCAATAGCAAGGCCCCTATGTTACAAGCAGCTGGACCGATCGGCTGCTGACCAGCATGTTCCGTGAGCCTACCTCTCTGGATGATGCGGAGCACCAGAGGCTCCTGGGGCAAAACTTTGAGGCCTGCGTAGAGTACGGACGCTCTTGGATGATGTGGCCCGGGATAAAACAGAGAGGTTGAGAGCCGCAATAGCATGAAAGACCTACTTAAAGATGATGGGCCGGTTTAGGCTTTAGGACTTAAGGTTTGGGATGGAGTTTGGGGCGAGCACTGAAAGCATCACTGGTTCCGTGAAAACCAGAAGCAGGGTCCCTTCTTGCGAGACTATAAGAGCAGGAGCCCAACACGACCATGTACCCAAACCTGCCAAAATTGCTGAAAGAAGGCATGTACCTTAAACCATACCAGGGATCCGACCATAATGTAAGGTATGTTCCGTAAGCGGGTTCGGAAGGTCTGGATCGCTTGCAGACTTAAATCTCTGCCGGCTTGAATCGACGTTGCAACATTTTCTGCTTTCAGCGCCCCATACGATCCTCCACAAAGCCTACTTAGAGGATCATGGGACTTAGCAACTAGAGTAACTAGAGTTATACGTAAGGTAAGTATACTTACAACTACTTATAACCCCAATTAAGGTACTTATAACCTCACTTACTAAGTCCTTCAGGTATGAAGCCTACTCCCCACAGCTCCACGTGAAGCCCCAACCCTTCACCTTCAACCGAGGTACTCTAGGTATCGATTCGGGATATTGTTTCCGTTCCCTGTATGGTTGAATATAGAACTCTACTGACACATAGTATTGGGGACTGTTGAAATCGACACCTAGTATTAGATATAATATGGCAGTAGACTATGGTAGTTATATGGTAGTAATATGATGGTTATATGGTAGTCATATTTGGATATGGATCTCGTTGTCTACATACCTTGAGACTCAGTGATCCTAAACCCCAACTCACCAGGCCCTCAATAAGCCCCAAACGTGTGAAAGTAAAGAGCTTATCCAGTTAATAAGTCCTCGACCCTCCAACCTGGGGTTTAGGGTTTAGGGTTTAGGGTTTAGGGTTTAGGGTGAACCCTAAACCAACCATTGAAGAATTCAGTTATTTTGAGTTGAGGTCGCAGCTTTGGGTCTAGACCCCGGGGGTCAGGCTCGCCTCAAGCCCCCAACGGGCTAGTATTTTCGAGTTCAGGGTTTCAAGTCTAGGAGTTCCGGGTTTTTTTGGTTTAGGGTTCAGGGTTTTAGGGTTTAGGGTTTTAGGGTTTAGGGTTTAGGGTTTTAGGGTTTAGGATTTAGGGTTTTGGGTTTAGGGACCCGCCTGTCGAGATGATTACTTGCCGCCCACTGGCGAGATGGACCCTTACGCCAGGAGCAAGGCTTGGAATGGGTAGCTCCAAGGGTAAAAGGAGGGACATAGATCCCTTTTAGGAGCCCTTAAAGGAGCCCGTATAAGTAAGGGGTTGTTTGAGTCCAAGGGTAAAAGGAGGGACCCTTAATAAGGGGGATAGAACCTTAATAGAGCTATTATCTTCCCATCATTTTAGCCCATTTTTGGCTAGGGGTCCCCATTAAGGGTTCCTCCTTTTGCCCTTTGAGGGTAGCGTATTGACGGTGGGCCTTGACTAACCCAAAGGGTCCAAAGTATCGTTATAGTAGAATGTAGGGTTTCTATATTAGGAATTATTATTATGATTTGGGGAAGTATCCCCCATAACAGTACCAAGGACGTCGAGGCTGTCATTTTAAGGGCTAAGAGCTATGAGGGCTGTAGAGGGCCTCCCACATAAAGTGGGCTTGGCAAAGAGTATAGTACGTTCTTAACAAACCCCAATATTTTTAGGCGCTTGGTCGGGAAATCCTCAAGGTCCTTGGCGCTGCACTACAGCCCTATATAAGGGTCCATGTATCCAAATAGTACATACCTTGGCCGTAAAGTAGTTGTAGTTTTGCATCGCAGCTTGCGTAGGAGTTTGTATGGTCGTGTACAGTCATCATGTTGTGTACTATATACCGCTGACTATTGTGCCCAAGCCCTCTGAGTAAAAGAGTCTTAGCTCGCTCATGGCTTAACGGTTTTGGTGTATTCTATAGTAGTCTCTATATAGGTACTTTGGGGCCAAAGTATATACTATTTGGGTACGTGGACCCTTAGGGCAGTGGGGCTCGACAAGCTACGGAGGTTTGGGTTTTCGGGGTTCGAAATCGCGACTTCAGGTTTTAGGCCTTCCAGGTTGGCCAGTGGTTTACGGTTTCGGCTTTAGTACCACGACACACCTCGAAACCCCCAAAGGGGAAGCCCCGAAGACCCTAAGCAGCTGAATACCACATCTAGGCATGCGGAGCATCTGTCGGAACCCGTGCGTCCCTTAAACGCTAAGCACATTCCGTGCCGTTGTTTCGTGTACTGGTAGTGTCAGCTGCTGCTTGGCTTTGCACAATTGGCGCTTCCACGGAGGCAATAAGCTGCTGGATCCGGACAAGAGCCTGAAGATATCCAACGACCTGTGCCCTCCGTGCTTCAGAGCTTCGATGGGGTATGCAAGCAACAGGGCACTTTCGATGGGATGAATCAGATGAAGAAGACCAACCCGGCAGAGTGGGTGCAAGTGCTGCAGGAATTTTCTCGGCAGCGGAGCGGCCGAAGGGGGAAAAAGACCAACTTCGATGTCAGCGCCTACATTGAGACGGTGAAGAAGGCGAGGGTGAAGGAAGATGAATACAGGAAACTGCTGCCGGGGGACTACGTGAAGCACTACATGGCCCTGGAACCACCGTTTACCCTCACCAAAGCCCAAGCAATCGCTCAGCGGCATCGTGACCTTGCCGATCCCACTGTGAAAACAAGCAATCGCGAAATGTGCAACCCGAAAACCAAGAAATTTGAGATCTTCACGCGAGTTCATGGGTTATGCCCTAAACCCTGACCTTAACCTACCCTTGTACACGGATCTTAGCCGACAGCTCCAACCGAAAAACCATGCGCATCAAGCACGAAACAATATCCGCTAAATGCCCTTAAGGGTCCATGTACCCAAATTGTAGAAACTTAAGCCCCAAATTGCCTTATATGTACGGTCTACGAAAGGGCCAAAGTATACAATTGTTTATGAGTATACATGGACACGAGGGTGCGCGAAGCCCAAAAAGCTTCCCTTAAGGGATCGTGCCGGCGCGCAGAGGCTGAAACGAATCAAGGCTGCTGAAAGGAGCCCTACTACAACTCCTTAGTTAATGTAGGAGCTTGATTCGGAAACCCTGGGCTCATAACACCAAAGTAGTAGTAGTAGTAGTAGTAGTAGTAGTAGTAGTAGTAGTAGTAGTAGTAGTAGTAGTAGTAGTAGGGTTCATATAAGGAACCTTATAATCAGGTTCCTACATTAGGCAGTCTAAGGTGGTCGTTGTTTGAGATGCGTTTCAATCCGGGGCCAATTTTGAAATCTGGGAGCAGCTCTTGAAGGGGAGATACCCTCCGTTTCGGGGATGAAAGTCTAGCGTATTCCTAGGGGCTCCAGTTACCAAGGTACTAACCACGTGTTGTGCACCCCAGTAACGTACTATTTAGGTAACAGGAGCCCTGGCATATAATACCCCTTCGAATACCTTGCACTGCGCCATACAACTCCCCTCATAAAGCCTTGAAAAACCGTATCAAGACCTGCGCTGTTTCCCTGCGGCTGTCGAGCTTTGCCCTAAAGCTAGGATGCCCAGTAGTACCCTTATTCCTTTCCTGTAGTCCCAGGTTCCTTCTAAAGTTACCCAATACCAAAAAGGCGGCCCTTTTTATTCCTAGGTTACTGGGCATCCTACCCAGAGAGCCTAATACCCCTTCATTAAGGAATATACCTTAAACTATAAGGGGGTTCATATGATAATTTAAGCTATATTCCTTAATTAAGGGGCATTGGGCTCTCTGGGAACCTTGAGCCCTAAACCTAAACCCTGACCCAGACCCCCAGGGAGCCCTAATTTGGGCCCTATACTATTAAGGGTAAACTCCTGTAGATCCCTGCTGGGCATCCTAGTACGAGAGGCCCTCCTGACTGGCCTCCTGACCGGGTGCATGGCTTGGATTTCTGCTGGGTTTCAGGTTTGCGGTGGTACGTAGTAGGGGTTTGAAGTTTGTTTTCGTACTAAACACTCGCCGCTTGCCAACCCCAAACACCCCTAGACCCTAAGTCGCTATTTACCCCTTTATTCAGGGGTCTTCAGTTTCGGCGGTTTGGGTTTTTTTTTGCCTGAAGGGGTTTTGGGTTCTGGGTGTGCGGTTACTCTGTGGGGTCTCTGGGCTCAGGGCTCTCCCTCAGGGTCCAGGTATCTTCTTAGGAGGGTCCGATCTCTTTGAGGTCTCAGAATCCCGTAATTTTGAGGTTACCCTATTTGTTAGGACCCTTAGGGCTGGGTTTGTGGGGTTTGTGGTTTAGGGTTCTGCGGTTTCTGGGCGATGCTGCTTCAGAGCCTTGGGGTTTACCTGTAACCCAAATAGCCTAGCTTGTGAAGGATTTGAATCAGGAAAGCATAACCCTGAAACGGAAGGTTTTATAATGTCCAGGTAGGCCCTAGGGCTGCGACTCCTCTGACTTTTCTCGGAGTTTAGGGGTACCCAGAGAGCCCATTACCCCTTAATTAAGGAATATACCTCAAACTATAAGGGGGTTCTTATTATAATTTAAGCTATATTCCTTAGTTAAGGTGTATTGGGCTCTCTGCGTAGAAAGAAAGGCCCTCCTGAGGGGTTCATATCAAAATTTAGGCTATAATGTATTCCTTACCCTAAGGCTCATGGACCCTTGTAGTGAGATCCTAAACCCTAGCCCCCAAAGCCGAAACCCTCCCCCAGAAAGCCCAAGACCCTCTTAGGAGCATTAGGGTAATTAAGGGGTATTGGGCTCTCTGGGTATGTTTTTCTGGCGTTGATGGGTGTGTAATTGAAAGCTGGGGACTTCCGGGCTGGGGCTTGATTTGGGAGTTTTCGAAAATTAGGGGTACCTTTATTGGTGACCTTATAATAAGGACCCTCTTATTTGGGTACTGTCAAGAAGGATCCTCTTATTTGGGGTACTATGTTAGGTCCCCTCTTTTCGGAAACTCCCGATTGATTTGAATGTTGACTAGGATGCCCAGTGGTACCCTTATTCCCTTTTTGTAGTCCTAGGTTCCTCATAAAGTTACCCAATACCAAAAAGGAAGCCCTTCTTATTGCTAGGTTACTAGGCATCCTCATTGAGAGCTTGGCAAGGCCTGGGATTCCTAAACTCTACACCGTAAAACCTGAGTCCTAAAGTAAAAGCCAGAAAGTTGGAATATGATTATCCTAAAGTCTTTATGGTAAATTATAAGGTATCCTACCCTGAAACCATATTCCAAGTTTCTGGAGTTCCCTTTAAGCCCTAGACCCGAATGCTTCGAAGGCAACAGCCCGAAGACTGAACCCTTCCCCAGAGCCTCCAAAACCCCTTAATTAAGGAATATACCTGGATCCTACGATGATTTAAGGTATATTCCTTAATTAAGGGTAGTTTAAGGTATATTCCTTAATTAAGGGGTTTTGGAGGCTCTGGGTCCCCCCACGGCACAGAGTCCTCAATCTGAGCCCTTAGATGAACCTTGAAAGGAAGCATAAAAGGAGCCCATAAAGGAACCCTAAAAGGAGCCCCTAAGTATACCACGCAACTACAAGCAGTAGTTACACCCGATCTCCTCTCACGGAAATTACGAGACCCCCGGGAGGATCCAAAAAGTGGATGCCTTAATGGGGCTTCCTATAAAGTACCCTTAGTAGTATAGGGACCCAAATTAGGGGATCTAAACCCAAATTAGGGGATCTACTTTCTAGACCCTAAACCCTAAACCCTCAGATCCCTCCTCCCGGGGGTCTGGGTTACCAGAGTAGCCCCACAAGGCTTCCAAGAATGAGAGGTCGAGGTTTTACCTCTGGGTGAAAGACTTCACGATCAGGAAACCAGGCTGTTCTGTGGGACACTTTTTTACTTTCAATTTTCGGGGTTCCTATTATAGAATAGGAGGCCTAACAAAGTACACACTTCTTCCCAGTGGGTTCCTGAACAGCCTAGCAAACTAGGACTGCCCCTTCCTTTGTGTTGCAGTCTGCATGCCCGAAGAATTTTGATTTCTGGCAAAGGCTGAACGTTTCCATCGACATTAATGGTATCCCACTTGGTTGGATTTATCTTTACCTCAGGCCCCCAAAAAAACCCTAAACCGAAAAGCAACGCTTACGCCCTTAGATCCCGAAGCCCTTAAAAGCTTTTCGGTTCATAGTCCACCAAGGTGGTTGTCAAAAGTATGGTCTGTTTTTAGGTACCCTAAATATAAGGTGCCGTATTGTAATCGGGACCCAAAAAGGGACCCCAATTGTGACAACTACCCACATAGGATGTAACATGAGGTCTAGAGGCACCCGCTGCGGATGCAAGCTCGGTCAATGTGAGCGAATAGAAAAGTAAAGTCTAGTCTACCATACTGTATTATACTGTACTTCACTATACTGTACTGTACATTGATGTACGCTACTATACTATACACTATATATTCAACTTCAGCACCTGTATGTACTATACACTGTGTACTGTTTACTAGATGCTGTTTTCTATGTACTATCTACTATAGATGGTGAAGTTTTGTTTTATGCTATATACATCATGAATACAAAAAACGATATTCTTTGTACTACGTACCTTTTTGTATTATATACGATGTTCCATAATGAGCTTACTATATACTATACACTTTGTGCTAAACACAATACCCTAAAGTTTTCCTTGTATGATACTATGCAAAGATATAGCATGATATGAGCAAATCTGAGATAATGCTTTGTGTTAGCAGCAACTCTAGCTCCTGTAGTTGCTTCAAGACCTTGTGGGTTGTAGGGTTCAGGGTTTAGGCTTAGGGGTGGGTTTAGTTTAATAATGGCGGTTTCTGAGACCGGGCACAGACCAGCAGCAGTGCGTTGAGATGTCTGAGCTGAAATGCCCTACACCCCAAGCCCTTCATTGCCTAAACTGCCAAGCCCTACAGCCCTAAACCTCACAAAACCCATCTGGAAACATGCACCCCTGATGCACCCGTTTTGTAGACCGCAAGAACGTTGCATTATGAGCTTAACACATAATATTATGTTCTGGGCATCCAGAACATATTCTACTGTCTCACTTATTACTCTTTCGTTGGCTGTACCATGTTGCATTTCACTATGTTGTCTAGTGGTCACTACATCTTGTATTCTTATTTGCTATGCTATGATATACTGTGTCAGAATTTATCTCGTCTATCTTATATTCTTACATACTATACTACATTGAAATTATGACAGTAGATGATATAGTGTGTTAAGTTGTGTGAGGTGCGCCTTCTCCGCCCTGAGCTTCCAACGTCGCCAAGGTCGCAACCTCGCAGGAGCTTTGGTTTGGGCTTCGGGCCCTTTAAAGGATCTACATGGGGGTCTTTACAGGAATCTTAAAAGCATCCAGAATAGTTTTTTTAAAGGGATCTTGAAAAGGATCCAGAGTAGTTTTTTAAGGGGATCTTAAAAGCATCCAGCATAGTTCTTTAAAGGGATCTTTAGAAGGATTCAGAGTGGTTCTTTAAAGGGATGTTTAAAGGTATTTATAATAGTTCTTTGAAGGGCTCTTAAAAGGACCCAGAGTAGTTGTTTAGAGGGATCTTTAAAGGGATCAAGAGTACTTCTTCAAAGGCATCTTAAAAGGATCCATAATAGTTCTTTTAGGGGGCCCTTATTTTCAAGGGTCTATAACAGTATTAAAGGATCTTCAGGGTCTCTTTAACCTCAAAGGGACCCATAGATAGACGATCTCCAAAGAAAACCCTCCGAGGATCCATACTGGACCGTTCAAGGATCTATGAGGGTTCTTTAAAGTTAGGGTTTGAGGGTTCTTTAAAGTTAGGGTTTAGGGTTTAGGGTTTAAGGGGTCTTGAAAGAATTCTTTCAAGGGTTTTTTGCAAGGGACCTCTCAAGGATCCACAAGACTTCCTTAAATGTTAAAGGGACCTTTCGAAAGATCCAGAGGGGCTCCTCAGAGGCATCTTTGAAGGATCTATTTACAGTTGTCCTTTGCAGGGTTGTCTTTAGGATCCATGAGTCTTCGTTTAAGTGACTTTTGCAGGATCTTTAAGATTCTTTAAAGGGTTCTTCAAAAGGATCTATGGGCGTTCTTTCGAGGGAGTTTTGGTTAACCCCCTAGAGCCATCTAAAGCCCCAAGCCTCAAAATCCCAAGCCCGAGAATCCTCAATACTACCCTTCTCTCTGAATCGTATAGGTTGATACGTGTTCGACAGGGTTGCATACGGGTTGAGTATTGCAGGTGTCTGATTTATTGATTTTTCCGTTTAGGGTTTAGCGTTCAGGGTGCAGAACTTGCTGAGAAAGATCGCGGTAGTCGAGCCTTGAATTGAGCCGTGCCGCGGACCCAGAGAGCCCTGTAGCCCCATTTCCCTTACTGAAGCAAGAATATAGAAGCTGAACAATCATCAACATTATTCCCAGGGTTCCTCAGTATTGCTATGCTATAAGATACTCAAAAATCCCTATTCATCCCGATTCCAACTTGGGGCCCTCTCCGCTGCCGTTAGCAAGTTTATGCTGGATTCACCCAGCTCTGTAGCAACTGGCTTTTTGGCTGTCAACTTTAGGGTGTGAAGTAGGCTCTCTCGAGTTTAGAGTTTAGGGGTTAGGACTGAGGGTTTAGGGGTTTGGGTGTTCAAGAGCACTATATTGGTCTACTATGCGATTTAAGAAGACCACCTGTGCTGAAGATATGCTGCCTCTGAAACGCATACGTGTATGCCCAGTGAGCTGGCGGGTGCAGTGTTGGGGTGCCTCTGTTCGCATTAGCGTCTAAAGAATCTACTGCACGGTTTCCGGCAACTTGGCCCGTTGCAGGACTTGGGGTGCAGTCCCTGGCGGCTGGCAGGACGCTCAGCAGCTGTAGATACACCCATCACTTCCGCCAGGATGACTATCGCTGCCACTGCCACTGCGAACCCTTAAGGGTTCCCTTAAGGGATCCTTTAAGGGTTCCTTGGGTTCCTTTAAGGGTTCCTTTATGGGTTCTTTTAAGGGTTCCCTTAAGGCATCCTTTAAAGGGTTTCCCTTAAAGGGCTCCTTTAAAGGAACCCTAAGACCTCAAAGGCCTGACCCAGATTCGCTGCGGAGCCCTCTGAGGCCTGCTAGGAGTGGGGCTGAGCCTCGGCTATACCAACTGGCAGGCCGTGCAGGCCACCTGGCTTCCTTTAAAGGGTTTAGGGTTTATGGTTTAGGGTTGTGTTTAGGGGGCTTAGGGGTTTTAGAGGCTTTCCAGGGTTTGTAAAGTTTCCGGGGCGTGTGGGCTTGATAGGGCTCAGGGTTTGCAGGGTCCATGCTTGTACAGGGTGCTGGATAGTTTGTTGGAGGGTTTTCTGGCGACTAGAGGTTATGGTGAACGGCCTGGTACTGCCACATTTTCGCCTGAGAGACCATACCGATCGCCATGTATCGAAAGAGCCAACTCAGACCTCTACTCTGAATCCCAGTTTGGTTTACGTAGGGGTTCAGGGTTCAGGGGTTCATGGCTGCATCAGCATGTTTGTCGTTCGTGGCAGCGAGCGATGCGGCGGAGGATGTGCCCAAGCAGGGTACAGGAGGCTTTCTGCTTGTTGTGTGGCAGAGTCATCGCCCCCAACGTGAAGCATTCGTCGCGGATATCGACGAGTCCACATACAGCATACAGAGCTTTCCTACCAGGAGACACCAAGATCGCTCAGTTGGAGCTGTCCATGGCGCTTTTGGCGCGGACCTCCAGGGCATCGACCCTTCCGGAGCCGCCGAGGAGTGCGGTTCATAGACAACGTTGCAGCATCAAAGGCCCTGATTCGTGGGAGGTCCGACCCCCCAGATCATCTCATCCATGTCGCTTTGTTTCCCTTCGGACTTGGATGTATTGGGAGTGGATCCCAAGTATATCCGGTCAATCCTATCAAGATGACCCTCCACTTGTTAACGCCCTCAGCTTTTGGACAGGAAGTCAGAGAAAATGGCCTCCGAGGCCGTATATGCAAAGGAAGGATTCATCGGCAGTTCAGCTCGTTTCATGCTTCGTTTCACGCCGTGAGCCCTTAAGCCCAGCTAGGGCCCAAATCATTGTGGCTGCCTTGTGATTCGAGCATCGGATGGTCTTGCGGCGTGGCTGCAAGACGGTTGCATATTGCGGCATACATATGTGGGTGATTGTGATGATTCTGCCGTGCAAGGACAAAGTCACCGAAACTGATGCGCAATCCTATCGGTTGCGACAATTGCGGTCGGGACTTCGGAAACTTTGGGCGATTTCTAAGTAGGGTTCATCGACATCAGAGGGGTGTCTTGGGCTGTTTATGTTCAGATTGTGTAAGGTTTCGCACATGATTTGTAAGGGATTGGTAGGGAATTACAGGGTTTGATCTGGATTTCCATACCCTAAACCCTAAGCCCTAAACCCTAACCCCTAAACACGTACACTGCTTTTGGGGTTGGGAGTTCAGCGGGGCGGGCTTGCTTGCGCTTCGGGGCAAACTTGAAAGGCTTTAGGACTTAGGGTTCCCTAAACCTTCCACCCGTAACCCCTAAACCCTACACCCTAAAACCCTAAGCCCCTAAACCCTAAACCCCTAAACCCTAAACTCTAAATCCCTGAACCCCTAAACCCCTAACCCCTTAACCCCTAAACCCTAAACCCCTAAACCCCTAAACCCCTAACCCCTCAACCCCTAAACCCTAAACCCCCAAACCCTAAACCCCTAACCCCTAAACCCCTAAACCCCTAAACCCCTAAACCCTAAACCCCTATACCCTAAGCCCCCCAAAGGTTTCAGGCCTGGCATTGAGGGATTTTAGGGGCCTCCGTGGCTCTGGGCGTAAGGGGTCTCTGCTGTAGAGTTCCCGAACCCAGGGATCGAAAATAGAGTTCTCACTCTATGCTCGAATGCTGGGTTCGGGAACTCTATGTTCGAATCTTTGGGGTTTAGGGTTTAGGGTTCAAGGTTCCCAACAGCAGAACCAGGGCTCCTTTAAGGGAGCCATAAGGGCTCCTTTAACGGTTTAAGGCTTAAGCTTCTTAGTTCCGTCATACTGTTGATGATATAAATCCTGCATCACCCTAGACTATAGGAAGTATGGCAGATTCCTTATTATGGGTCATGCAGGGTTTGTATCACCAACCGTAGCCCCTAAACTCTGAAATTTTAGGGAGTCCAAGCAAAGGTACGCCACCATGCGCAAGCTCTCGCGCGACTTCAAGAGAACTCCGAGGCACTCGGGCGACGAATGCCTAGGGATTAGGCAGCGGATATGCACCCTTAGACTACCAAGACCTGGTCTCTCCACTACGTACTTCTATGTATACTAGTGTGTATATATAGTTAATCAGAGCCCATAAGAAAGTAGGCTCTGGCAGCTTATGGCTTAAGGTGGGGTCCAGAGGTTGATGGGTTAAGAGCTGTTGAGGGTTTAGCGTGCCAGGGCTCCTGCCAGACACTCCTGAACTGAAGAAAGAAGCCCTCAAGGAATACATTCTCAATCATATCAAGCAGTCCCTGTGACAGTGTCAGGTATGTTGCTGAATTTGGGGGGTTCGGCCATACATATAATTCTCGTACCAGTTTGGTATAGCAGCCCGTTTTATGTGATTAGGCTTCGAGCTCCCGTTGCTTCACGCGGCTTACAGTAAGTCAAAGGGGAGAAGGAGGGACCCTTAATGGGGACCCCTACCCTATAAGGGCTATACAATGGGTATATAATGGCTATATTACCCCATGGGTCCAAAGGACCCAATAATTAGGTACTCGGCTTTAGGATAGTAGTTATGTAGGTTAGGATTCTGGAGAGTATATGATTATTGGATACTTGGACCCTTGGGGTTAAGGGTATATACCTAGGGGTCCTTATTCAGGGTCCCTCCTTTCACCCTTGGATTTATTTTCATCCCTCAACCCTAAACCCCTCCTAAACCCTCTTAACGTAGATCCCCCATACCCAACAATGGGTATATAATGGCTATATTAAGGGTATATACCTAGGTCCCTCCTTTCACCCTTGGAGCAAGCCCAGGATCTCCTTCCTGACCTGTCTTTGGCGGGGCAAGCCATAGGGGTACTTAGAGATATTTTTTAAAAATTTTTGGTTATTATAATCCCTAAGAAACAGCTAAAACTGTAATGTTTGCGAGGGTTCTAAGTTTAGTATAGAAGCGTCTGTGAAAGTTTCGACACTTCGGGCCACGAAACCCTGAGCCTTATATGCCCTTAACCTTACACAAAGTAGTAGACTAGGTAACCTTTAACCTTTATGGGGTAGTACAGCCCCGCTTTAATTCCTATATGCCCGAAAAGGTGAACCTTTAAAACCCCCACGATACCCGACAAGTCGGCCCAGGATAGATCCTACCTTAAGCCGGAAGAACCTACCTTTTTAAGGACTTATAGAAGGAAATCATAACAAGGAACCCTAAAAGGGTAGGTTCTTCAGGGTCCAGGTAGGGTTTAGGGGTTTAGGGTTTAGGGGTTTAGGGACTTGGGAGTTTCCAAAAATGGGGGACCCTAATACAGTACCCGAAATAGTAGGATCCCCATTATAAGGACCCCAGAATAAGGTACCCCTATTTTCGGAAACTCCCATTCAGGGTTCAGAGGAACCCAGACCTTCCAACATCATTTAATTAAGGTTTTTGGGAATTTCCGAAAATAGGGGACCCTAATATAGTATCCCAAATAGTAGGATCCTTATTATAAGGACCCCAAAATATGGTTCCCCTAATTTTCGGAAACTCCCATATACCTTAGTTAAATGTACGAATGGCGAGAACCGAGGCCCTCGTCTTAAGAGGCGGCTGGCGTATACGGTTGATGACATACATCCTGCATGACCCAGAATAAGGAATATACCCTAACTCCCATAATTTGGGGTCCTTAAGGTGATGCAGGATTTATATCATCAACCGTACTTTTTAGAAACCCCCCCGGCTTTTGCATAGGAAGTCAAGGGCTTTCTCGGCGTAGGATACAGAGATAAAGGCCTGCGAGGCCGTACTTTACGGGCCTTGACCATTGCCTATACTGTTTTTGGGGCTCCTTGGGGTAGACCATATCTGTTCGACGACTTACACAAGACAGAGAGACGATGCAAGCATTGATGTACCAATGACAATTGTATAAGAGCATTCATGTGGAAATGATTCTTGTCAGTTCGTATAGTGAGTAGTGTGTACTACATGCGCTCGGGTATGTTCGATTGGCCATTGCAGTCCAGCCGCAGGCCGTGCGCATGCTACCCATCGGGAACTTGGCTCCTATGCTACCGGCCAAGGTGCGGCAGAGAGGGCTTGGGCTTCGAAGTGGCGTTTCAGGAGTATTGGCTTACAGCTTCTAGGAAGCCCAGTACTACCCTTCTTCCCCTTTTTGTAGTCCTAGGTTCCTTATTTACCCAATACCAAAAAGGGAGCCCTTTTTATTCCTCGGTTACTGGGCATCCTAGGCTTGGGGTCGGTGATTCCCGAGCCTTGCCACTCAAGCCCGAAAGTCTGTACCCAGATGAGCAGGTTCGGGTAGGCTGTGTGTCGAGGGTTGTGGATAATTTTGGCTTCCTGTACCCTCACCCTAAAGGTCCAAGTACCCAATAAATATATACTCTCCCAGATATTAACCTACATAACTATTAACATAATCCAAGTACCTGTTTATGGGGTCCTTTGGACTCTTGGGGTCAGACCCCACGATGATGCCGAGACAGGATCAGTCTGGAGGTCGTACCCTGCACCCCGACCTCCCGAACCCATATTATGCTTAATTCCTGACGTTAGGGGCACCTTTAAAGGGGATCCTTTAGGGGTTCCTTAAAGGGATCTATAAGGGTTCTAAAAAGGGTTTAGGGTTTGGGAGTTCCCGAAGATAGGGGTACCTTTTTGGGGGGGTTCTTATAATAAGGATCCTACAATTTAGGGTACTATATTAGGGTCCCTATTATTTCCTGACATCCTAATACAGAAGCACTGGTATTATTAATCTTTAGGGTCCTTATTCGTTTGTACGGTAGTTTATGCCCCCCAAACCCAAGCCTTCTGTAAACCTTCAGCCCGGAGCTTTCAGCCCTGCTCTCGCCGTAGCCTGCAGCATCGTTTCTGAGCCTCAGAGCCCAGCAAGATCCGTAAGGGACATCTGTGTCCCTTTCGCGTAAGCTTCCTTAAAGAGATCTAGAAGGGTTTCTATAGGGTCCCAATACCACAACCCGCAAGAAACCTTCACCGGGCTTGGTCACCATCAGTCTCAATGTCTCAACACAGCTTATTTCCGCGAGAAACCATCGTTCACCATCCCTATTCAATATTCTCAGCAGTTTTCATCACCAGCATCATCTTCTCCCTCCTGCACATCATCACCTTCCTCTCCGTTCCTGTCACGAGCCCACAAAAACAGCAAAAGACCATGCACGCCTGTACAACCCGACAGAACGCCGAGCCAACAACCTCCCAATCCCTGCCCGAGACCCGAAGCCTTGAACCATGAAACCCTAAACCCTAAGCCCTAAACCCTAAACCCCTAAACCCTAAACCCTAAACCCCTAAACCCCTAAACCCCTAAACCCCTAAACCCCTAAACCCCTAAACCCCTAAACCCCTAAACCCTTAGAGACCGAGATCAACCCAAGGTTCAAGCATTCTGCTCTGAGCCCTAAACCTGATATTAGTCTGTAGGGTCGATACTTAAAGGCTCATGGGACTTAGTAACTAGGGGTCCTTTTAAGGGGATCTATAGGGGTTCTATTATAAGAGGGGGTTTATAGGGTCATACTTAAAGGCTCATGGGACTTAGTAAGTAAGGTTATAATTAGGTTATAGTTAGGATAACCCCACTTAGGGGACTTATAACCCCAGTTATAACCTACTTACTAAGTCCCCTGATCCTTCAAGTAGTCTAGGGTTTACGCGGGCCCTACACCCGAAGCCCTGGAGAGCCCTAAACCCTAAACCGGAGAACCCTAAACCCTTAAACTCTAAACACCCTAAGCATGGAGAACCCTAAGCCCCCTAAACCCCCCTAAACCCCTAAAACCCCCTAATCCCCGAACCCTAAACCCCTAAACCCTAAACTCCAAACTAGAATGCTTTCATATGTGCCTTGTAACTGCTGACCTAGGTGCAAAAAGGAGCTCAAAAAAACAACTAGACTACTTTGAAACACCCTAAGCCTTGGAGGAGTTCGATGAGGCAACCGGCCAAAACGCCAAAGCTGCCAGCGAGGCGCAGCCCCAAAAACCTTCAATCTCAAGCTCTTCTTGGGACTTAGTATGCCTTAAAGGGAACTCCAGAAAGTTGAAACATGGATTAACGGTAGGATCCCCTATAATTTTCCCTTAAAGGGGTTACGATAATGATATTCCAACTTTCTGGCTTCTACTGTAGGGGTCCCTTGAAGGGACCTTTAGGGGTACTATAACGGTTTAGGGCTTCTCAAGCTCCACTTAGAGGATCATGGGACGTAGTAAGTAACCTTCATTGGGGTTATAAGTACCCTAAACCCTAAACCCTAAAATCTAAACCCTAAACCGTATAGTTACCTTATTTATAACCCTGGTCACTAAGTCCCAATCTCAAGCTTCCAGAGTTGGGGTTCCCCGCTCAGTAATAGTTGCATAATATTCATAATATAGATATAGTAGGATCTTAATTGTAGCCCTATTATAGACTCTTACTGTATGGGGGCCGTACCTAAGGTATTGTGGCTTTCATTTATTGTGTGCTGGCGGTGAGTTGTTTGAAGGAGCTTGGGACTGGGAGCTCGGGCATTTATGGCTTCGCTTGCTTACGAGGGTTTGCAGAGTGTTCCTAGGGCTCATCGGATGTGTATATGTATAAAACTACGTGTATATGTATGTTTATACAGTTATTTATACAGGTATGTATACAACCTGTGTCTACATGTGTGTGTATTCATATATATATATATATATATATATATATATATATATATGGTAATTCCCCCCCCCCCCCCCCCAGGACCTACCTCCAAACCCGTCGGCCTACACACAGGATACCATACCCCATCACCTACGCACACACACACGCACACACACACACGCAACATGGACCTGGGTATACGAAGATTAGTGTATACGAACATGACTATACCAGAGCTCCGGCTGCATTAAAACCCGCATTTAACAAAAATAAAATTTAATGCAGCCAGGCCCGTGGAACCAAGAACCAAGAACCAAGATGCCCAGGAGTCTTGAATCCTGAATATTGGTTCCGCGGGCACCGGCCGGGCTGCATTAAAACCCGCATTAAAAAAATAAATTATAACGCAGCCAGGCCCGTGGAACCAAGAACCAAGAACCAAGATTCCCAGGAGTCTTGAATCTTGGATCTTGGTTCCGTGGGCACCGGCCGGGCTGCATTAAAACCCGCATTTAAAAATTAAATTTTAATGCAGCCAGGCCCGTGGAACCAAGAACCAAGATGCCCAGGAGTCTTGAATCTTGGATCTTGGTTCCGTGGGCACCGGCCGGGCTGCATTAAAACCCGCATTAAAAAATTAAATTTTAATGCAGCCAGGCCCGTGGAACCAAGAACCAAGAACCAAGATGCCCAGGAGTCTTGAATCTTGGATCTTGGTTCCGCGGGCACCGGCCGGGCTGCATTAAATCTGCATTAAAAAATTAAAATTTTGATGCACCCAGGCCCGTGGAACCAAGATTCAGGATTCAAGACTCCTGGGCATCTTGGTTCTTGGTTCTTGGTTCCACGGGCCGGGCTGCATTAAAATCTAATTTTTTAGTGCAAATTTTAATGCAACCCGGCCGGTGCCCGTGGAACCAAGATTCAGGATTCAAGACTCCTGGGAATCTTGGTTCTTGGTTCTTGGTTCCACGGGCCGGGCTGCATTAAAATTTAATTTTTTAATGCAGATTTTAATGCAACCCGGCCGGTGCCCGTGGAACCAAGATTCAGGATTCAAGACTCCTGGGAAACTTGGTTCTTGGTTCTTGGTTCCACGGGCCGGGCTGCATTAATTTTTTAATGCTGGTTTTAATGCAGCCAGGTGGCTGGCAACCATGTAAATTTTCACGAAACATATCGGTTTGCCATTTTATGTGCCACATGGCCTGCAAGCTGGATGTTTTGACCCTTGGAGGGGCCCAACTGTAGAAGACAGATGTTACGTTTTGAGCTTAGAAAAGGCTAGCCGTGCAAGCTAGAGGTTCTGACCCCTTGAGGGGCCCAGCTGTACAAGACAGATGTTTTGAGTAAATACCGCGTCAAAACAACGGCCAAGGATCCGGGCAAAATCTGGCGGAAGTGATCCGCCACCGAGCAAAAAGCCTGTAAATTCCGCATTAAACAAAGGGACAGGGATTTCACACATCTGTTGGCAAAACTTAAACGTAGGGCTTTAAGTCCGGGGCGGATCAACTCCCTAAACCGTAAGGCCCTAAACCCCAGGGGCCCCAAACCGCAGAGCCCTAAACCCCGAGGCGCCCTAAACCGTAGGGCCCTAAACCCAAGGGGCCCTAAACCGTAGAGCCCTAAACCCCAGGCGCCCTAAACCGTAGGGCCCTAAACCTGCAGTGGAGATTAGCGAACGGATTGCTGTGCTTGACACTTTGATCGCATCTGTACTCCTAACTCCCCCCTACGCTTGTGATCATGTCGGCGCGCCCCTCCCTTGTAAAAATTTAGGGCACCAGGTATTATACAGCCTGTCAATATGCACCTCATAGAATATCTTATAGGATACTTCGTAGACTCCCGTATTAGAATACCCTATAGAATACTTTACAGATAGATGTCAAATATGGAACATCAGTCGGAGCCGAAGATTTGCGAATGTTCAGCTGAGTTGTAGCTTATTGAGTAACGGGTTCCCATGATGGAAACCAGGAACCTACTTGTAAAAGAAGATTTTTTAAAGTTCAGTATGGATTAGTGTCTTATCCCGTCCAGAGTTTCATAGAAAATACTCAGGTCGTAACATATACAATTTATGCAGTATATGCTTTGTATATACCTTATGGACTACCCTGTAACTCATAAAACACCGCATAGAAATCTGTCCTATATATACACCCTATATAGAATACCTTTTTTACGTTACAGCTTGGGATACCCCAAAACCCTACACAAGCCTTTTAGAACACCATCTGGAAAACTTTACAGAATGTCTTATAAAAACCCTATGAATGATACTCCCCTTATACCTTGTATATGCTCTTGAGAATCCCCTTTGGGATATCCGACAGAAACCGTATAGATCAGGATTTACTTAGGGTAAATCAGAAGCAACCCAAGCTTTATGCAGCTTATTGAGCAAGGGACATTTATGAAAGAAATGAGGAATAAAGGAGAACAGCCTGTAGAATACCTTACAGAATACCGTTTCTACAAAAAGGTAAATAAACTCATGTAGAATACGATAGTACCTCATAAAATATTCTATATTCCCTATACAACTTGTACACCCAAGATCTGAGAGTTCCCCAGTTGAATGTGGTTTATTTGGCAACGGATTCATATCCAGGAATTGCGGAATAGAGGATCTAGAAATTCCTTGAAAAATCGATGCTTATTTGGCAAAGGATACATACAGAGAACAAAACTCTTCTGAAGCACATGCTGCACATATCCTATAGAATGCAACTTCTAAACTACCTTATAGCATGTTTTTATACAATTCCACCGATTTGCCCTACATACACGTTATAGAATACCATGTGTAATGCACTGTAGGATACTTTGAAGAAGAACACCTTCATTTGCTACATCCTGTGTACCTTATGTATGCCATATAGAATACATATACGGCACCATTTAGGATACCCTTTAGAATCCTTTATAGAAAACCTTAAAAGGTACCTTATAGGTACGGACTTTAAATATGGAAAGCCAGGCGGAGCCCAAGATCTGAGAATTTCCAGTTGAATTGCAGCTTTTGGGCAATGGATTCCTATGAAGAAATCAGGAACCAAGAAGACCACCCCAACTACCTTATAAAATACCCTCTCTATGCACCTGAATGAATTTCAAATTCTATAGAATACCTTCCTACGTATAGGCCGCAGAATGCCTTTTGTACAATACCTTATGGTGCACCCTCTAGAACACCGTATAGAATGACCTATAGAATAACATCCTTACGGAAGACCGCGTTTGGAGTATATCCTCAGAATACCTCAAATATCCTCAAATATACCTCGTAGAATATCCTCTAGAATACCTTTTAAGATACTATTTAGAATAACTTTTAGTATGCCCTATAGATCACGGTTCAAAAAGGAACATCAGAAATAGCGTAGCATACAGAGGACAGGAGACAATACTTCGTGGTATTGTCTTAGTTCGAACGGTGTAATGTCGTCGTAGACAGGGAAGACTACGCAGTGTATAACAGTTTTGTTCGGAATGGAGTCGTGACGTCGTCTAGACAGTACAAGAAGAGGCTTCGAGGTAGGTCCTGGAGGGGGGGGGGGGGTAGCATATATATATATATATATATATAGAGAGAGAGAGAGAGAGAGAGAGAGAGAGAGACTTATGTAAGGTCTCATGGGGCTTTCAAGGGGGCTGTATGTGAAGGTCGTTGAACGATTCAGCAGAGCACAAAGAGATATAGGGTCTTAGGTTTAGGGTTGGGGTTCAGGGTTTAAAGTTTAAGTGTAAGGTTTAGGGTTTAGGGTCTTAGGTTTAGGGTTAGGGTTCGGGGTTTAAGGTTTGAAGTGTAAGGTTTAGGGTTTAGGGAGCTTAGCCAGCAAGGCTACGGATCCACTATTAGATGCTGAAGGGTTTACCCCTGGTTCTGGAAGGCAACCCGCGGCTCCTTCTAGGGAGTATCCTTGGCTCGGGACCTCCTCTGCATGCCAATCGCTAGACTCTTGCACTCTAACATAGGGGCCTAAATAATTACCAATACTATTTGGAAGTTCCGACATCAAGTAGGGTACAATGGGCCCCAAACCCCTTCGAATTATTAAGGCCCCTACAGTGACGTTTCACTGTTGCCACAGGCGCTTCTGGAACAGATCCGGAAGGAGGACCCCACACAGAAGAAGAGCATGTTTGGTTGCTTCCGACCCTTGCTTAGGCTTAGGCGTAATTATCTCTTGGGCTCAAGTCTGGGGTCAGGTTTCCACAGAACGTTCGAGTTCAGGGTTTAGGGCTGTGCGATATGAGTCTTGGAAGCAAGCGCGCCAATCGATGCTGAGAGCGAAATAGTTAACGAAGTGCTTGTTGTTCGACGTTTCCTTCGTTTGACTACTGTTGCAGCTCGGCGCAAATCGCAAACAGGTTAAATTCCAGACTCCAACCGCCAACCTGACTTTCAGACCACCCACTCTTAGCCTAGCCTGAGCCCTGAACCTCAGAGCCGCGACCGTGGTGAGCTCTTCGCGGTCTGAGAGTTTGCACCATGCAGGAGCGGGCAAAGCGAACGAAGTAACCCGCTGCTGCCAGGATGAAAATGCTAACGGTATCTTTGTTTAGATCGAGGTATGGACGCTAGCCCCGAAACCGATGTTTTAGTGTTCTGCACTCTAGGGCCAAGGGATACTTCGGCATCATTCCGTGAAGTTTGGGTCTGGCTTACTACTACGACTACCCTTAGCAGAATTGTTGTCATGATGATGGGAATGACGAAGACGAAGAAGAACATACTATGGTCATGACGAGGGTACGGCTCTTCGTGATAGCAATCGCCCGCTACCATCTGCCCATTTCAACATGCACCGTTGTGGCGGCGAGGATTGTCTGAATGGCGTTTTCGCTGCGGGGGCACATGACCCCCAATGATCATCATAGTCTGTTTCATGTGGGAACCGAACAAGAAGAGCACGTTGTGACTATCAAGGGGAGCATTGCGATTGTGATGTTGATGGTGAATCTGCTGGATGACGATCTTGATGAGAAAGACCAAGATGTACATAGATGGCGATGCTGCTGATGATGATGATGATGATGATGCCGTGATGATGTTTATGAGCATCCTCGGAGGTTGTTCTGCTCGACATTACTGTTGTCGTTTCTGCCTTGACGACATGACTGCCTTGTTGGTTGTCCCTGCATTGTTTATCCATGCTGTAATACAACTATCGCTGGTATCGATGCCCAGACTCACCGTTTATATCCGTTTATGGTTTGGTATGGTTTGTTATGAAGTATATTTGTTGCACATATCGGAGATGTTCTGTAAGTCATAAGGACTCTTGGGGGCGGGGTTGTAGGGGGGAGAGGGGCAGGGGGCCGTAATAGCTACAATAAGGATTTGATAAGGCTTATTTAAGGAAGTATAGTCACCTACCCCCTCCCCGCCCAGGGTCCCTATGAGTAAGCTGATACCTACACTACACATTGCAATTACTATTACCATTGTATCACCATCACTATGTTTGGTTCGTAATCTTCGTTCGAACCTTCATTTTTGTCAGGGTTATCCTCATCGTCTTCTGGATCATGTTCCGTGGGTATGTTTCACCTGCCAAACGCTTGGCTCAAACTCAGATTAGGCAGCGGGTCAGAGGGAGCCCGCACACAGCACACGCCATGGTGTGCCGGGGAGCCTGAACAGGTCTTCTGAGGTAGCGCGTGGTGGCAGTATCATGTCGTGACGTATGCACCATTGGTGACGAGATTCACTTTCTTGTAGTTTTGCAGGCGTACCAGCTTGAAGTGCCACGGCAGCGCATGACATTAACCATACATCAATCAGCGAAAGCACAGTGTGCGATCAACAGTTTTGGAGGCGGAGACACACAGCAAGAATTCCAGATGCCTAGGTATGCGTACACAGATCGACATACATAGATGCATGCATTGCAAGCATACATACAAACATACATACATACATACATACATACATACATACATACATACATACATACATACAACAATGTGTACACACATACAGTACCACATATATGTTCGTACATACATACATCGTACCTACATACATGTATACTCACATGCATGCAATGCATACATACATTCATTCATATATATATATATATATAGACATACATATACACAAATACACAGCAGACCTGCATGTGTGTGTGTGTGTGTGTATTAGTATGTATAGCATAGGCACATTATGCCGAACTTCGCCTGTACTTATGTATATGTGTGTGTGTATATATATATATATATATATATACATGTGTATTTGGATATGTATGGTCGCTCCCCCCGTTGACAGACCATGCCCTTCCAACTCACAAGTAGTGCATGGTCTGTCATCGGGGGGAGGGGGCACTCAGCCCTCAAAAACTCAATTCCAAAATTTCCAAACTTCTCTCCCCCAATTTTCCAGATTTCTGAAATTTCCAAAACTTCCGAATTTTCCAAAACTTCCAAAAATTCCAAAAATTCCAAAGTTTTCAAAATTCCAAAATTTCCAAAATTACCAAAAAGTCCGCCCTTATGTTTTGGAAAAAAACCTGTCCACTAGGTCGGGCCGTTTTGGAAATTTTGGAAATTTTGGAGATTTCGGAAATTTTGGAAATTTTGTAAATTTTGGAATGTTTTAATTTTTGGACTTTTAGAAATTTTGGAAGTTCTGGACCTCTGGGAATTGATTCTCAGGAGGGCTGATTGTGACCCATCCGATGACAGACCGTGCATGCACTACTTCATATTGAGAGTAGTGTATATTAATACCAATACTAACACACACCTGTATGTACTAATGTACATAAATATGCATACCACTTTATTAAAATACAAATCCTTTAACTCACTCATGTATTCAACTGTTAGTATTTTCACGTGATCAAGAGTAATACTAATACAAATATTCTTGCGAATGTAGATCATCAATAATATTATAGTACTAACGCTAACACTATTGCTAATACTTAACACAACATTTATACTAACATCAATATTTACATAGCTATTGATACTCCTACGAATACGAATACGTAGACTCTTGTGCGTTAACAGTAGTGCTATCACCAACACTAATACGGACTTTGATAATCTGCTGGATATTCAAGAATGCCACTAGTATTACCAGCATGAACACTCATATTATGGCTAATACGAGTATAAATAGTCCTAATTCTAATAATATTGTAGACACCTGCATATACTAATGTACGTAAAATACATACCACTATCTTAAGATACAGGTATATACATTAGTGCATTCATGTATTAATGATTTGGCATAGGCAGATACCCATATATCAATGTAACAATATATTTCTCGTTGTTGTATGAATATACTATACTAATATGTGACTATACTAATATACGACTACTGCAATATGCAAGAATACCGACATGACAAGTTCGTATGCTAATATGTCAACATACTGATCTACTTATAAATGATTAGACAATACATGAATATACACATACTAGTATACTAATATGCTAACGTACGAATATACTGGTATGTTGATATACTAGTAAACTAATACACCAATATACTAGTGTATTCATGCACCAGTTGTACTAACATGTAAAATATACTAGTATACAAGTATGCAAATATTTTACTGTTCGAATACATTGGTGTATTGATATACTAATCTGCTAATATACGAGGCTATCAATATACTAACATATCACAACTAACTGGTTCTAATATTGATACTAATACTAGCACTTCTGCGAATATAAGCTGCTACTAAACCCAGCATTAAGGCTGATACTGATACTTCTCGTAGCAGTGGTGCTGTATTACTGACATTGGCACTAGCGCTAACTCTAACACGAACATGAGCACTAACACTGATTCATAGTTGGCAATATTGATATGTATACTTACAGCAAACAATAGTACTAATATGAATAATAATACTCACCCTAATACCGATACTACCACAAAACTATTGCGTAACTCATGTGCTGCACGTCTGGTGCATGCGTCCTCAGCACATGGCATGTCCAAGTATACGTTGTATATCTACTTAAAGGTCTTACTTTACAGATTATCGTCGGGTGTGGTGTGTTTAGATACAATATCTCAGCCGAGTCACCTGCCAAGAGTACAGTGCCACAAGGCCATGGTCTGTCAACGGGGGGGACGAGCATATATATATATATGTATGTATGTATGTATGTGTTTCACACATGTACATACACGTATACACATATACATGCAGATGTACATGTATGTACATATGTATATATATATATATATACACATGTGTGTGTGACCTACAGTTGCATGACTCGAACTTTCAAGTGGCTGTGTAAGTATGTGTTAAGGGTGAGTGTGTGTGTGTGGGTGTCTGAAAGCATGCCAGCTTGCCGAGGTGCGAAGTGTGAGAAGAAACTGGCAAAGCTTGTCCGGGACTGAGGGTATTGCCCTATCCTTTTATGAAAACCATGGACCCCTGTGAAGCCCTACGGAAGCCCGTTTCCAAGCCGTCTGAAACGTGACAAGAACGGGTCAGCAGCTGTTTGACGACATCGTTTCGTCTCGGTGGTTTCTGCAACAGAAACCAAAGCCGGGATAGCTTGCTGGTCATCTGTGTTTCTTTTCATGGCTTATCCTGTTAACTAAAGTTACATACGTCAACAAGAGCCCAGTTTCGTTCAGAGTTTGGAGTAGGTGTTTTTGAAGTTGAAGATGTTCTTTCTACAATCTCAGAGTTTCTTGAACTGCGATGACCAACAGCGGCAGTTCTTAGCCAGGTCATTCCGAACTTCAGGGCTTTGGGTTTAGAGTTTTAGGGTTTAGGGTTCTCGAACCCAATGTAAACCTGACGCACTAAAACCGAATTCATCAATCCTGTGCTGGAAGCTGCGGAACATGTTCGGGCCCTGACGCCTAAGTGGAGAGCTTGCCAGGATTTAGGGTTTTGGGTTCAGCGTTTAAGTTTAGGGCGATTGCTTAGGGCTTCAGACTTCACGTTTAGATTAGAGCTTCACGTTGCTTGGCAGTTGGTGCTTAGGGCTTTCAGGCTCCCTGGGCTGTGGCTGCACGCCGTCAGCTGACTAAGCTCAAAAAGTCATGCGACTTTCACAATGATGACGACGGGGGAGTCGAGGGACGGTTCTTTTTGGCTTCCGACGTCGTACGGTGACATGTACATAACTAGCAGAACTAGCATACACCTTGCACTTGAAACCTAGGCAACGGAGGAGCTGGGTATCCCAGCTTCGGGCTTTAGATTTAGGCCTTCGGGTCCAGGGTTCAGAGCTCAGGAGAGTATAAAAGGGCCCCTACAGTCCTCAGCTTTGGTCCCTGACTGTCTGAGGCCAACCCGGATGTTTGGCGCGAAGGCGGAAGAAACAACACAATGCCCGGCTCTTATGTCGGAGTCCATCTTGACACCGTCAGGAAGAAGCGTGTTGATAGCCGAGGCGAGACAAGGACAAGGGCGCGCGAACCATCAACGAAAACATGCTGCTGAAGCACAAGCAGACAAACAAGGCTCGAATTTTGTGCTTCTGTGCCACTCTCTACTCCCTCAAGTTTAAACCCTGAGC